AAAAAACTTTCCTTTAAAGAACAATCTTTACGAATACGTGCACGTATACCGCAGATCCCTGTACGTGTGACAAGGACAATTTATATTCTTTTCCAAACCAATTGTCTCCGCGTACCGCAGTAAGAAGATGAGAACCGCTAGTGTAGAGCATTCGCGAAACGCTAACACAAGGTCCGGCGTTAGGGAAAGGCAAAACGAGGCATTTTTCTAAGGCCTCGCACTTAAAATTTTAATTGAAAAATATTTTGAATGGAAATCTCATAAAATAAAACGTGAAATGCGTGAATCGTCTGGAGAGTATAAATCTTTTGGTACATAATAAAACAAAACAATATTATATTATATTTAATGTGTAATGAACGCACCAACAACGACCTGTATGGAACAACGTTAGTGCTCTGCATGGTCCGGTCTTAATCAATCGGGTCTAGTACAGTCCTAACATACAAAAACTATTGAATCGTCGGCTTAGTCCAGTTCAATAATATTTAGAAATAGTTCAGTCTAGACCTCAGATCAAATGAATTATTTTCAGTCCGGTCAGGTCAAAGTCCGGTCCCAATCATGGAACTTAAAATCTAAATAAAAATATTGTAATGTAAACAAATAAAAGAAAAAACATACAGATTTAGGTATATATTTATTTATAAAGTCTGGTAGTCCGATCCAGTGTAATACTAAACGTATCATATGGTACAGTCTGGGTTAATACAGACTGAACCTTAAGAACCGGTCCATAAACGGTCCAAAATGTTTTAAGTTCGAACCGACAGTCCGGTCCACGTTTTACTTCATTAAATGTTATTTAACTACTGGTCCGGTCCGGTTTAAAAATAATATGAAGCCGTCGTTTCGGTTCAATTTTGGTCTTTGATTAACGTGTGGTGATTAAGTGTGGTCCGGTCGGACTTCGGTCCCCTGGTAAAGTTTGAAATCCGGCCTGGTCCTTAAAATAACGGACCGTGCAGAGTACTACGCGACGCATGGTATGAAAAACAGGATGCCTAGAAAGTTTACCTTAACACATTTCTTAAATTTAGTTAGTTATTACCCGATACGACGTGCAGCTGTCATCGAGTCTGATCGTATTTAATTACGGCCTACTGGTCTACAGATTTTATTGGTAAAATTAGTTTTGCTCAAGGCCTCGCAATAAGTAGTGCCAGCCCTGACTAATACCCGACCGCTCACCAACTCGTCGACCGTCGCTACTCCGGGCACGACAACATGATTATGAACGAGTAGCCAAAAAACTTCATATCGATCGCTCCGTATTTACACGTATGTGTTTCGCGCGTGCGAACCAAGAGGTCAAGGATATCGAGTAACGGACGTACCCGAATGTCGAGTCGCGTCCGCCGTTCCGCACATGTGTCCGTCCACCCTTCGGCTCAACGCGATAAACGACGAGCGCTGCGTTTTGTCGCATTACCGTCGCCGTCCGTCGAGTCGAGATGGTTGACGCGATGTTCCTAACGGACAGCACTGCCGGAATGGGTGTGTTGCGGAAAAGCGCGCCCGCAAGATAAAATCCCACCCGGGGCATGATTAAAATCCTAAGGGCCAAAACAATGTGTACCTGAAAATAGATGAGAGCAAAATTAAATATCATATAAATCGGTACACGAAAGAATTTTAAGCGATATGCAGTCATGTGTAAACATTGTAAACTAATATAAATAGTTTCAAGATTATACATTTTAGATTATCTAAAAATATAATAAATTTTACTAAACTTCATAAATGGATCTCAATAAAATGATGTTATAATCAATATGCGTGGTATTAAAGTAACAATAGTTTTAAGACAAAAATTCTCAGCAAAGATAATGGCTCTTTGGCTCTCTCCCTGCGGACGCGCATGGTTGCGGACGTACACCAATGTAAGTCCTTACGAGCATCGGGGGAAGAGGGAGACATCACATATCGCATGAATAATATTAGGACAACCTTTAGGCGATCATTACGCAAATGCGTCAGTGATACGGTTGCAACGGCTAAAGGATTATTGGCGTATTCCGAATAACAATACGTAAATACAACTCATGCGACGGAACACAAGACACGTGAAAAGTGCTTATGCGAAACGCATAATTCACGAGACCGACCGATTGTGTAATAAGTAATCCCGGGTTGGGCGCCCGATAAAAACTAAAGTACAAGTCAAAAACACTGTACAGGGATTCACATTTCATTAGCCAAACACTATTGTAGATGGTTATAAGAAACAAACAACAGTCTAAATGTTAAAACGAGCACAGGGTGTGGACGGGTGTAGTACAAAAGGCCGAAATCTATTGAGCCGACAGACTTTTGGGTCGAAATACAAAGTAGCCGACAAATTAAAAATCCGAACATAAAGTATAATGCTATAGAACAACCAATGATAAAAAAAGTACAAGGACTGTGCTAAAAGACGTCATTCGTTAATTACAAATTATAATACTAATGATAATAAGAAATTTGTAAATTATAGAGCAAATAATTTTTCACTAAATTCCTATTTTTTTTTTTTTTTTCAAAACTACTATGACTAATCGTAAATTTTTTATTTTCGTTCTTTTTTAAAATTCGCTGTTATTATTTTCGCCATAATTAATTTGCAATTTTCACATTCACAGTTGATTTTTCGCTATTTTAGCCAGATACCATCGTGTAAGCGAGCATTTCACCTTCAGCGCTCACGGCCGTTACGGTTTCAAAGCGATAGGTCCAAAACTTGACCGTACGCTCGTGCGTGTTATTGCGATTCTACGCGACGAAACGGTCGTGCGAAATCAACAGCACTGCGGTTCGCTCGATAGTGATAAGTGGACGCGCGCACTAAAAAATATTTTCATTATAAATATTCATATACTTATGCAACATTTAAACCACTTTTACTCGATAAAAAAAAAAAAAAGAAAAAAAACGTATTTTAAAGTTTTCCTAAATTCCGAGAGATGGGAAGATAATGTTGAACTCCCTAAAAGCCCTTCCTGTGTACGCGCTTATATGTACACAAGGAAAATCACAGACTTTCTGTTATCGTGATGGATCACGAGACGAGACGAGCGCGTGCATCAATGCCGTCCGAAAGTTTGTCATATTTATCTTGTTTAATAATGTTATTGTTTTCTTCTCCTCTCCCCTTCCATTATCTGAATGACGGTGATTTTATGACCTGTAACGCGGTACGGCCATCATGACTGGAACGCGGAATGACATGGGTAAGAAGAACTCGTCCTGTTTCCACCGTCGAAACGCTCTGTATACACATATCGTTTTAGGTACAACATTACAGATCTGTACGTACACGATGTATACAAATATCTATGTATATTCATCGCACGCGTGTGCCATTACATAAAGAACCGTTGCCTCCTCGGGAAGCAAAATCGATTAATCATCGCGGTCTATGTGCCCGGAACGGTTCCGGTGAAACGTCGTTGGCTGCGGTGTGAGCGCGTGTCCGTTATTGAAAATCTGGTTTTTTTCATCTTTTTTTTTTTTTTTTTAAATCTTTTTCCTTTTTTTCCTCCCGAAAATTTTACCGCACAAAACGGTTTATAAAACTGGTTTGCACCTATAACCTATTCCAGATTTTCTATTAGTATTAGTGTAGAAAAAAATAAAAGGAATTTTTATTGTAAATCGTCGAGAAACATCGAAAAATTACTTAAAAAAATCGTGGAATATTATATGACGTGAAAAAAGAGACATTAAACGATATAACTTACAGAGTTCAGAGGGGAAAACAGTTTACAGGCACGCATATTTACATATTATATTAGAAATAATATAACGAAAATAAATTCTCGACACTCATTATAATAATTACAATTATTGTACACGTTAAACGGATATAGTATATGTGTTTCCATAGCAATAACAATGATAATCTATCATGTACATCGACTGTAGTGGAAAAACGTCGAACCATTTTCAGCGTACCCTTTACGCAATGTATTTTCAGTTGTGTATATGTAACCCGTAATATATAAAATATTATTCGTCCACGCGAGTATGATGTTCGAGTGATCATTGGGAAACCGCGTTGCCTTACGTCATCGCATATCCTTCGGTATGCACGTAAGGTTTGAAATGAAATTGAATAATATTGTAATAAACGATCGATTGAAAATATTGAAAACCCCCATGGCTTTTAATTATTTTTCATCGTTTCATTTCAATCTGATACTGTACACGTCGTATAAAATATTACGACCCTAGTAGACTAATAACAATAATAATAATAAAAAAAAAAAAAAAAACATTCGAAATTAAACGAATTCTACATTTCTCAAGTGTAAAATATTTCATTCGAATCGGGGAACAAAAATAAACCCATATAAATATAAATTCAACCACTCACGCTACAGCTAATGATTACGTTTTATACTCGAGCTGAACGACGTATTGTATAGTAATACCGACCGGGTCGCGATATGTTTTTCGCAGAGGTAACATAGTTTACTACATGCATTGTTCATACCCGTTCTGTATTACAATAACGTTCTGCGATAAAGTCGCCACATTATGCTGGTATACGCATAATGTGTCGTACGGTATGCGTGCGGTTATAAAATTATACCACGAGTGCTTTTATGATTTCGTTAAACTTACCGTTTTCAGTTTTGATCGATAAGCCCCTAATCATCAATGCTCAAATACTTTTTGATCTCCAACGTTGACTTCGTACTACGATTATGCATAACATCGAAATTTTCCTAGGTTGTAATACCACATTAATTCGCACTGCTCTCGGCGTTGTTATTTTTTACGCGATACCCTTAAAGAAAAAAAAATCCCAAAACGCCAACGGATTTCGAAGTAACCGAATAATGGTGTGGCAGCGACCTTTAACGTAACCGTTACATTTGAAATCGATACCGTCCGCGGTACCGTCATTACGCTGGACAGTGCGAACAAATCTTTATCAAAATAAAATAATGATCATGAACGAGTTATTGTATATGTAGACGTTTTCATTGGAGGCGGTTTTTTTTTTTTCCATTCAGATCCGTACGTGAAAGTCTGGCTGCACGTGGGCGACAAAAAGGTGGAAAAACGCAAGAGCATGGTTTTCAAGTGCAACTTGAACCCGATGTTCGACGAGAAATTCGAGTATACTCTGCCGGTGGAACAGTTGAGGGAAGCAGCTTTGGAAGTGATGGTCATGGACTTCGACAACATCGGTCGCAACGAGCTCATCGGCAAGATAACAATATCATGTGAGTTACGCGTCGCGCGATACTGATTATTACTACCGCCCGTCGCAGTACGGCAACGGTCGGGTGCAGCACGTATGGGTATATGCAGACTTGTATCTCGGGGGGTTGCCTACGCCTATGCTTTTGGGCCCTATCTCAATAAATTACAATGCATAAAACGTTAAATAAATATAAATTTAATTTTTCATTTAATATCGTGCGTTAGTTATTAGTCTCAATGACCCTGTTTTCCTCGGATCTCATATATTTTTCTCGGATAGCTTTGATTATTTATGATCATTACTTTTGTAGTCAATTTTAGCGGTTATATTATCAAAATAACTTTTTGCACGAACTTTTAGAACAGCGTTTCCCAAACTTTGGTCCGCGGACCCTTAAAGGTCCGCACGTATACCAGAGGGGGTCCATGAACGAAAATTTAAAATATACAAAGTATTATTATTTTTTAATGTTTTGTTTTATTTTTATTTGTACTAAAGGGTCTGCCGTCATTTTTATTATCTCTAAGGGTCCGGCAGATAAAAATTTTGGGAAACGCTGCTTTAGAGAACGCATTGTTTTATTTTTTTCCATCACGAAATGTAATTTATTTTTTACCAAATATTTTAGAATGAATTACATTTGATTTGAGCAACAACTATAGGCTCTTTACTCTTAAAGTCTTTAAAGTCTAGGGTCCAACTTATAACCTTTTGAGGGATGCCTGGGTGCACCTGATAACTATCGTGTGCTCGCCTATGGGTGCATACAATTATTTTTGCCCGAACGTTTAGAACACATTGGGGTACATACTCTAATCACGTATCCCGATAATACGGAAACGATTAACTATCTTTGTAGGATATGGTTTGCAATACCTTAAACGTTTCAAGTTTCAGTTCAGTTTGGAACGTTAAGTTCAGTTTCGATCTCTAACCAGCAATAAGATTATTTCATTCGTTGTTATGATATATTATGGACGTTTTTGATGTTTTCGGGACCAGACGGTTGAAGAAGTGCATCGCGATTGACAATTACAAATTTATTAAATTAATAGAAGACAAAGATACAACTAAAGTTTTACGTTGCACAAAACAATAATCGTCAATAAATCGAGTACACATTTTTATTGTACCCAAATGTGTTATTTTTCCAGTTGTATAGTGTACCCAAACGTGTTGCATTCAGAGTCCACTGTACCCAAACGGCAATGTTGAGACGGAGTAACGCGTAGTAAGATCGTAATATACGTACCGACATTGGTGCGGATGAAAATCGACCCCCCCCCCCCCCTCGCGACGGATGATATTTGATTGCAACTCTAGACATCGAGCGTATTGTACGACAAATCGTTTTCGCTCGCGGCCATTAATCACTTTTTCCGTTTGAAAAAAACAAATCGAAAGTTGCACTGTTTAAGAAGAGGGCGGAAATCGGACCCTGAAGGCACTCCCCGATTAGATGTATGTTATTTTCGTGGTCGATCGATGCTGGAATTATTTAGATTGAACTGTTCAAATGTCGATAACGGTTACATTTCTTTGAACATGCAAGGTTCCCCCTCCCCATCCGCTAACAAAAACAATTTCTGTATAAACGTACTACGTGGAAGTTACGCTAAGCTAATTTACCCTTAATGAACAGATCAGGTCTGTAAGGTCTGTCAGGTCATGACTCGGCCTAATACCGGCTGGATGCCGGACTGACCAAGTAGTTGGTAAAATTTAAAATTTATATTATACACTTGATTTCCGTATCTAAAACGTTTGCAATGTTGTGTTTAATTATATGTATATACGTAATTCATATGTAATACCGCTCGTATTAATCGTGCATTTTATTTGCACATGTTTATCGTTAAATAGTCTAGTAGTTATTATTTAATTTGCCGGTATTCTGTTTGTTTCGAAACGAAAATTTAATTAAAATTCCGTACGAAAGACAAATTTTTTACAAATTTTTCGAGTGATCGATTTCAATCAGGTCCCTGCAATTAATCTTTGCTTAGTGGATAACGGCGTTTACGTATCGATTTCGACCCGCTGTCTGTTCAAAATTCAGGCTCAAAAGTAGGTATACATTTTCGTTGTCCATCCCATGCGAATCCTACACCGCCGCGTCGTCAAAAATCGGTTAAAACGAATTCGCAAAGCGACGTGCACTTCGATTGCAATAACAACAATAATTTTTCACACGAGCCGAAAACAAACATGGAAAACCGATCAATAAACAAAAGCCGAACGTAATCAATATACGCGTCATCACTTGATGACGCGTATATTGATGACACATTCTCGACTGGAATCGAAATAAACTTAACGTTAATCGTCCGCGAAACGTGGCATGATATTAATTAGAAAACGAACATTCCACGCATTTCAACTATAGCTTTAATAACATGACCGTCGGTCGTTCGACGATTACGAACCATTAGCAGCCGTTCCGAGTTCATGCACGACGAACGAAATGAAATTCTTCTCGACGCATAGAATACATTATGTTATTATATTATTGTTTCAATTAGTAAGTACTCGCTAATACTTCAAACCCAAAATTCCAATTCACTTAAAACAATTTAATTTACGCACGGCCATTAAAGTTTCGTCGCGAAATTAACAGTACCGAAAAAAATATATCTACTCACGAAGAAATATCGATAAACATTACTCACCCGGTTTGAATGAAATCCGAAATTAAAACGTCGGTCGATGTCGAAACCCGCGTTATCGCTTGAAAACGGTTTACCCTAAAGATTTATTTTGTTTCAATTCTTAAAAGTCATTTTATAATTAAACGGTTTTATGCATAATTATTCAATATTTACAGAATTAGCATTTAAAATCGTTTGGGATCGATAAAGTATACGATAATCCTTATTTTTATTTATTTTTTCTGTATCGTAATATGCTTTGAAAAGTTCGGACGTATTCGGATGATTTTGTAATTTATAAATTTTAATATTAAATTTAGCTTTTATTTTCGAACAACGAGTGTTGTTTGTGTGTTCAAAGAAGTGTTATTTAACTGTAGTTTTCTTGCTGTGGCGTAAAGGACGTGACCGTTATTTTTTGAATCTTTACGCAGAACAAGAGGTGAAACATACATCTTTTTTTTTTTTTAATCGTTTAAAAGTTACATATTGTTTTGCACTACGCGCTTTCGTATAGTATCCTTTCCATGTGATTATACCCATGATACTCGAACTTGGTGTTATACAAGAACGCGTAACCTATTGTTTTATATTTTATCTTCGAAAAAATTATGAGACCAACCCGTGAAAAATAAAGTTAATACAAAATCGTTTTTCTATATACGATCGCGATCGAATACCAAGTTTAGTTTTACTCTTTCGGACATGAAAGTCTTTAAGAGGACCGTAAAGTTTGAGATCCTCAGCATGCATCGGACAAAATCATATTTTTACTCTACGAACTTAAACAAATATGACCAGGGGATCATTTACCGTATAGGTTTTATTTCTCCCCTTTACCCTTCACGAAAAACGTCTGAGCAAAATGTCCGTTCGGTCGTAATTCACAACCCCACTACCTTCGCCACGTACACGCATTAAGCATCACGTACTGTTGAGCTGATACTTGCGCGTTCATGTGTTCCGATCGAGTACAATATTATAAAAATTATTATGGCGGGATTGAGTATTGTAACGGATTTGTAATGTGTTTCCGTCAGCCAACAAGAACGCGACTGGACAGCTAGAAGCGCAGCACTGGAAGGACATGCTGAGCAAACCGAAGCAGAGCGTGGAATACTGGCACCGATTGAAACCTGAATAAATTATTATTATTCTCATTATCCTTATTATTCTCATTATTCTCATTATTCTCATTACTATTATTATTTATTACATAAGACAAGACGTGTGTTATTGAAGTTGTAACTCGATTTTTTTTTTTAATATTTTTTTTTCAATTCTATTACAGTTCGAATAATGGAACAAAATAACATATTTATTATACAATATTTTTCTGCATTTGATAAAATCATATATGAATTATATAATAACATTAACAATATTTAAAAACTAGATAAGGGAAATAATATAATATTATGAATTATTTTTGTTTTCAATGAATAATATTACTATTACGAATATTAATAACGGAAATATAATATATAGCATTATTATTAATTTATAAGTGGAAAAAAACAAAAACAAAAACTACAATACATGATTTATACATATAGCGTTGTTGAATAATTGTTGCTAACTGACAAAGTTAGGTTATATTTTGCAGCACCAAAACGTAGCTTAGATTTATATTCGATAAGTGATGTTATCATACAATGTATACATGTATTGATTTATAAAATATATAATATACACTTTTATTATATGTATGTACGTGTGTATGTGTATGTGTGTGTGCGTGTGTGTGCTTATGTAAGCGTGTGTGTGTGTGCGTGTGTGTGCGTGTGTGCGCGCGTGTGTGTGTGTGTGTGTGTTTGTGTGTATGTGTGTTCGCATGTTGATGTGTATGTGTCTGTGTACACATGTGTGGGTGTAAGAGTGAGAGAGAAAGAGTATGTGTATATTTTTTTTATTATTATTATTGTAGTGATGATTTTTATTTCAACCGTAGTTTTTTAATACATATTATACATAATACATTATTACAATTAAAACTATTATTATTACAATTAACATTATTTATCAGTCTTGTATACACGATTGATGTTTGATGACCACATACATAAATGTCGCCTGCCAATAACAATACGTGATATATAGACTCAAAATTGTTTGTTCGTTATTTATATATAAATATTTTCTTATCTATTTCTTTACCTCTCGATACACCCGCGGGACACACACACATTTTACATTAAACATTATTTTTATGATACAAGTACACACACTATAATATAAATATATATATATATATATACATTTGTTCACACATTAACACCGCGACTGTACGATTGTTCTGTCTCGCGGCACTCCTCGTCGGTCTCGGTATAGTAACGTGTTATCATTATTCGTACTAAAGTTGTAATTATTGTTATTCATTCATATTAATATCATAATATCGTTACACAATATACGAACGCGGTCGATCGCCTTTTCCACCAATGCGAGTACAACAACATGACAGTACAACAATGACGACGATTTTATTATTATTATTATTTCTTAAACTACGCGATTGAATATAATATTAAATTTCAGCGTACATCGACCGCTTCGTTTGCTACCCGTTATTATGTATATACATATATTTTATATTTGTGTACTTATATCATATAAACCTTATTAAAAATATATTACGAATAAAATGACGCGTGTTGAATGTGTACAGTCAGCGGTGTGTGCGCGTATCGTATGCCAACTCCTCGGCGTCACTATGCCGATATCGAAGGCAACACCGTTAAATTATTCCTGAAAATATACACGCGAAAAGTTAAACATGCCGTTGCGATATCGAAAAATCTACCCGACACACACGTACGCACGGTATAATCAATGTACGTAAAATACGTATCAATACCAATTGGTAAAGGTATCATGGTACCTAGTTGCGACATATGAAAAGGTGACCCGCCACGTATTCGAACGTCTATCGAGTGGAGTGTGGCCGAAATACGTAGATTATTGAACATTTTAGGTATTTACGACAAAGACACGAAATTAAGGAGTGGCTATCGTTAGGATATACTCGGTACCGGTCGTAACTTTATTCCTACCGATTATTCCGAACATCGTTGAAGTATAACGGACGCATAAGTATGTGGTTCTTCCCTACCTCGAGGTTTGAAAAATCCTAAGCTTTTAAAAACGCACACCGAATGTAGTAAATCGAATTATATAAATTCTTCGCTGTGACGAGAACAATTCGAACGTAAACGTGTTACGTACCAGTTGAGAACAGTAGAAACCAACGGACCAAGGTAAGTACGTTATAATACGTGATACGATACATTTATTTATTTTTTTCCAAGGGATTGGCGTACAAAAACTAACGCGAAGGGAAAACGGCTTTTGGGTCGCCATCGAGTATTTATCTTCGCGTACGTCCGTCCCTCGACGTGTTTACGGTAGAACGAGCGGGATTTCGATGACTTAGAGATTTTGACTCATCAACGTTGTCGTATATTACGGACCTCGGAGTCAATAAGTTTCCTTTCGTACCGTGCGTGACCATGTGGTGACAGTGATCTGAAATACTTACAGATCGATGTTATGAATTTTCGAGTTGGTGCACACGGTCAACACTTTGACGTGACACTCCTTATGGCATTTGATCAGGCAGTCCCTGCACTCATAGCCCTGTTTACCGATCCGCCTCGGGAAGAATTTCGCGCACACCAAGCAATTGAGGCGGCTGTGGACGAAACAAAAAAACCGTTTACGATGCGATGCGTGCGAACGGGGCGAGTGCAACGTCCGTCCTCGGTTTTTATCATCGAGACGATTATTTCCTTTCCTCCCTATCCCCCTCCTGGCATGCATCTTCAGGACGATACTTTTTTATTTTTATATTATATTCGTTCGCTCATGACGACGACAATCTCGTTATTTAATTTCGAAATCAATTTACGCGGGCGAGAAACACAATTACGACGAACCCGTCATCGATACGATTGTTGATAATAATTATCAATATAACAATAATTATTATTTAAATCGAATCGTGGTGGACGGGATATGAACAAAGGTCGTCGAGTCGAAAACGAACGGTTAGCGAGTGCTGCGCACAACGGCTACGATATTATATTATATCTCTGGCTCGACACCGTTCGCATTGAACAATGGCATTAAGGGTCTCGTTTATTGCAACGTCCCGATAAATGTGTTTACCTTAAAGTTGAGCTACCGGGTAGTGCGACGTAGCGGCAAGTACAGATTAAATTACGGTTACAACGGTCGGTGTTACAGCTGAAACCGTCAGCTTAAGTAATTCGAAACGGCGATTTCCGTCCGACTCGCAAGCTCATAGTGCGAAACGAGAGTTATTCGGAAGGATAAATTCGTATTTGCGGTACCTAGCGAGTCGATTTGATCGGTCCAGCCGTATAGCACGTCTCGCAACTGGATAAAAGTTACAGCTGAAAAAAGTCCTCGGCCGGTCTTGGTTCAGCGTTTAAAAACATAAAAAAACCGGTCGCCAATTGACCCCCCTGCTCGTCAAACGTAACGACTGTCATAAATGCGTTTAACGATCGTAACGACACGGTCTTCTTGTGCAGTGATGTAGTTACCGCAGGGGCAACCGAGGCAATCGCCTCGAGGCGAAAAATTGTTTGGGCCCGCACATAATATGTGATATATTTTATTTATCTATTTAATTATTTTAATATTATTATTAATTGTAGATTATATGTTAAATGTGATATAAGCGTGGCTGGGTAAATTTTATAAAAAAAAAAAAAAAAAAAACAAAAATTTAATCAGAGTAAAGTTTTAATGATAAAGATCGAAGAGTCTAAATTATATTAGGTAGAGCGAGAAATATATTTTGCATCGGGGCGCTGATAAGAATAGCTAAGTGCCGTACTAGTCTTGCGCGTGCACCATGTAGACGGCCAACCCATCCCACTATGAGGATCTGAAATTATACGGTATTCGTGTTTTCAAACTTGACGTTACGTCAAGAATACGAATCGCAAAGAATCGTCGTCTGACACGACCGAACCCGCCAAAAAAAGAATCGTTTTGATGATATTACGAAAATATCAGCGCGCGCTGCTTCAGACATACCTGGACAGATGCTTAGCGACAAAAGTATGATCATTGAATATGTGCAGTTTAGTGCCCGCCCTCTTCCATTTGCTTTTCTTGGCCTGCGTGAACGGTATCAGGTAATACCTGCAACATACAACGATTCATAAGGAACAGAACGTGTGTTGTCGCATTAACACGATAATATCGCCAGGGGACTAGTCGCGTTTCGAACATTTAACTGTGAAGAGTACACCGTCGCGTTGTTAAACAGCTGATCCTGGCAGGGTTGACGTTCCGCTTTTCTAGGACAAAGGACCGCTCGCATGACACCTCCTCTGATTGCTTTGATTGCTTTGTTGGCGCTGATCGTGCACGAGAGGACGAGGACGAATCGATGAAAACTTACTTTTTCGCGTTGTTCTCCATCGTCTCCAACACCAGCGTGGACGCCTCGTGCAGATAAGTGCCCGTGGAAGTGCCACTGGCCCCGGACATCTCGCTCAGGCTCGACCGAGCCGAACCAGCCCTAGGTGGTGCCAGTAAATCTAGAACAATAGGCGAAACGATTATCGTCACAACGTCCGTACGAAACGGCTTCCCCGGACGGGTGTGCACTAGAGACGTGTCATTCATGAACGATCTAATTTAATTGAACTAATTCACGTTCAGATGAACGAGCCGTTAATCGTTCATTTCGTTTATATCGTTCACATTATGAACTACTATACAGTATACAGTATACACCACCGTTCACTGCGAACGATGAACGATTTAAAGTTCGGATTGATAAGTTCACTGAAACGTTCGTTTATGTGAATGATTAGTTCCCCGTATCGTGTATAGTCGATACGGAAAACGATGAACGATAAATAATACGTACGAACGATTTGTAATGAATATGAACGACGAACGAATTTCCTCAACTTGTTCATTTTAGTGAACGATGAACGACTGAATAGTTCACCTAGGCGAACGATTAATCTCATTCCAAGTGTGCACTGCGAGAACGACGCGCGACACACGCGTTTTAATTGCGTTCAGTTGCGTTTGCCGCAGCGGTCGTTAAACTGCAGCGGTATCTCGTCCATCGGGTAGAACGCGCGACAAAAGGTGTTTTGGTGACGTAAATCTTTACGTTTTATTATCACAACGAAACGACTGCGCCCAGGTGTTGGCCAACGATATTGCAGAAACATATGAAACCGTAACGGTATCGGTGCAATAGTTATTAGTTATTAGAGACCGGGTTTACATGCTCTTAAAGTCTTAAAAATAAGATGCTCTTATGCTTCATAATTTCATCAAAATAATCTTTTATTTGTATCTATAAATACTGTTTTTTTGTTTTTTTTTAAATATGATTTTTCATAAAAATATATTAAACACAGAAAAAACAAATTATAAACTTTTCCTTTGTTAAAGGATATTTAATGTACTCAAATTAGTCCTAACCTTTAAAAAAATATTCAAACAATCACATTTAATCTATACTATGGTGATATACTAATAAATATTGGTTTTTATATTTTACATATGAGATTGTACACATAGTATCCGTATTGGAGCATTTATAATACACTACGATATTACAATAATATCGTGCAGTCACACATGAAGAGCGCCCTTTATCTATGACCATTCTACGTGTACAAAAGGCCAGTCAATTATACCTAATAAAATACCTTATTCAAACGGGAACCAATTCGGCCAAATAGGAATCAATTCGGTTACTCCCATCGAAATCTATTTTAATTCGTGGTATAAGGTTTATAGATATCAATGAAGTTCTTTTTATATTTCATCTCTAATCACAGAATAATTGATTTTTTTTACCAATGTTATGTTCTTCAATATTGCTTTGCACATTTTGTCTTGAAAAGGAAAGAGACTGACGGAGGTTAAAAATATTTTTGCATTTTTTATAAGCCATTACATTTTTTATAAAATATTTAAATTCAACCTCAACATGGAAATGTATTCCTAAAACAAATTATTTTGTACAATATATTCTTTAACCTTGAAATATGATTTTTTATGCTCTAAAAATTTTCGTATATCAATCGATAGGAAAATGAATCATCCAGAATGTTCATTCGATAAGAATTGTTTATTCTCAGTAAAAATATGTAAAAACATAAAAATCCGGTCTCTAGTTATTAGCATTCGACCCGAGGCGCAGTAACCCGAAACGTTACAAGATCAACAGTTCAACTGTTTCGCCGTTTTTAAAACAAAAACCGTATACGGACTCGCTTTTCCGCGTTCGTTTGCGTGACACTAAAAGTTGTCTCCCTAATGATCTTAATACTTAATGAAATTATCATTGCATCCGTGGATTTCTCGATTGAACAACGAAACGAAAATTTGCCAAATAAATAATGGTCGAACCATTGTAACCGTATCTTAATGTTGAACGATGGAATATTTATTTAAGAATACCGTGTTCAGCACTCGACATTTACTACGTTCATAGAATACCCGATAAGGGTCATCTTAGGTTTATAGAGAGTTTTTTTCTCCAAAATTCTTTTACCGTTTTTCTTCCCGACCTATTTTCCACCAAAAACAATAAAATACGATTTCACTCTTCACTGCGAACGCACAATTTTCTTGTATTATTTTATTATTTTATAGCTATTTTTACACGAATGTTATTTATCAAATATAAAATAAATGTCAGACCGAATAAGTTCAATGATATGTAATATATCATATATAAAAAAAGCACTTCGTTAAGTTAGGTTTTTAATTGTTTGGTAAATCTTTTTTATTCGTTAGATTTTAAATTATTTTGTTTAGATTTATTGTTCTCAAAAAAAAATTATAATGGAAACATTATAATTAGCATAATGAATATAAGCAAATAAGATGAAGAAATAAATAACGAACAAATAAATAAAATATTATAAAATAATGAGGTCGATTTTGACAAAGGATATATTAATTATGAGAATAATAGAGTAATAATCGCATAGATAAAATAAGACATTTGGCAAAATCGGATAGTATGAACAGATTAGAGAAGAAAACAATTTTGATATCATGTTTCTCAAAAATTAAACCAATAATAATAAAACAAAAATAATGATAAATAATGAGCTTAAAAAATAGTATATAATTGTAATAAAAAAAAATGATGAAACTGTCTTTATCTAAGTATTTAACTAGATGTGAGAAACTATATTAAATATTCATATAAAATTTAAATGGATGCAAACAATGTTAAACTAACAAAGTAAAAAAAAACAAATAACTAGCGGCAAAAAAGAGAAAAATGAAATCGATTGTTTACTGTTTCCGGTGGGAAAAACTAAACGGGCAGGTGATCATCACAGGGATTTCGAAGGACAATTGGTGCACTATCATATTTTTCAGAGGACCGACCATCGTATTAGATATTATTCACAGGACAACAATACGTATAAATTGATTCATCAAAATGTGGTAAGATAAATTGTTTAGTTTTATGGTTATTCCGTGAAACTATCCCTACACTTCTGTGTTCTATAATAATAAATCATTCATCATTGAAATATACGAGTACTCGCATCTTGAATAGAAACAAACGATCCACTTGCTTCAATATTTTCATATCTAATTTAATGAATTTCTTAATCAAGTATTTACTATTATTTATTTTAAATGTATATGATTTACTGATTTCAAATTGAATATCGGAGTGGTTCTACGGTATATGACTGCGTATGGGTAATTTATACGAATCGTGTTGAAATAATTAACAATATTAATTACATTTTAATATATTTACAGTACATGGTACGCCGATAGTAAAAAAAAAAAAATCCTGTTTCCCCGATTAAAATAAACTCACGGCTACATTAAACTGCCATTTTCTGCTAAGTGAAATATTAATCGTGCTTGAAATGTATATTTTTTTTTTTTATGAATTTGTAATTGCTAGTTTATAAAAATTAAAAATACACACACACACAGTCGAGGAATATCTAACGGGGAAAACATTTAATTTAAACTTAGTGAATTATTTCGGAAAATATTCGAGTTTATATAATAAATTCATCCAATTTATTTTACATATTTTATGAAATATGATCTCGTTGTTAAAACGTTTTGAAATAACGTTTTTAGATGAATTTTGTGGTCAGAAGTTGAAAAAATAGAAATATATATGATGAATATGATTCATGAAATAAATATACTATTATAATAGTAGTTACATACAATAGTTTAGTGAACTCGGCAACAAAAAAACAAATGTTTTAAAAAGTATTTAAATTTATTTGAGTATAAAATGCATAGTTTAAAAATTCTTATCGAGCTGTAATGTAACGGCTGTTCGTCTGAAAAGAAAGTATCGTGTACATGAAATCGAGATTAAACGCATCAAACCAGTGTACGCCAATCTCATAGTCCCGTGCACTCCTTGTACATTTTCAAAATGCTCACACACATACCCCCCTTAGTAGTAATCATTATGTATTAATTTGATTCTAAACAGTTAACAAATTATATTTTTTGACATTATTCAAGTACACCGACCAAAATCCAATAAATTCACAAAAATCAAAGTTAAGGACGTTAACAATTAGTCAAATAATGCCATAAAATTATATGTTTTGAAACTATGTGGCTAGGCGTTTGTCAAAAATCAATTCGAAATCAACTAACTTTTTATTTTTTAAACGAGGAGATCATACATTTTTTATTATTTTCTTACACGTACGCTGCAGCTGATACCTAGTGTTTACGTTCTACACATACCTACTACAAAACGTATTTTTACTGTTCGAATTATTAAAACATATTTCGAACACTCTGAACGCGATTGGTCTGAAATATAATGATAATAATTAAGGAGCGTATAGTATAATATTACCAGTGACATAACTAGACCATCGATTGCCCGTGGCAAAACAGTCGAGTCATTGGTCTTACAAATATCAATCCACGTTAATTAGTAATAAATAATTAAAAACGTATTTAATATACGATTATAAAGATAGTCACTTTTATTACACATTGTATATATATATTATTGTTTTGGTTTAAATAATATAAGCTAGGTAATAACAACTTTTTTACTTTTTTATTAGAAAAGCATAATTACAACTTATATAATGGTTTATACAACGAATAATTTTTTTCGACAATGGTTTTGTATTCATAAATTATAGAATGTAAAGGTACTCAGTAATATCACCCGATAGATTAAGAATGCAAGTCTCTTGGTCAACATCGTTTTAGTCTTCTTCGGGGATTTTCAAGAATTTCATATGAAGGGAGTCAATTTATTAGTGGGTTTTTATAGTGTAATCGCTTTGAATAAAATGAGAGAAAGTGATATTTAATTAATTGAGATAGTGTTTGACCACTAAAACGATCTCGTATACGAATCGAGTTATTGACAGTCACCAATACGGTTTTCTAGACTATAGGTTATACCACTCTAAATATAGAGTGCTTTTCCCTGTTATTTCTCTTTCAATATGATTATTACATTAATATATACTAATATGGCATACGCCGTACGCCGACGAACAAACACTCCACACAAACCAATCCGTAA